TGCAGATTTTTGGAAAATGGCATACAATTCCCAGAAAACAAGTAGGTTTTTACTCGTGGTGTGTTTAATCAACAAAAAATTGTAAACATTAAAGTTTAATTGTGGTTTTGGTTTCATAACAGTTCTTAATCTATTTTATTAAAATATATTTTAAATAATTTCAAATCAGTTTATGCCTATGAAAACAGAATATTAAAGAAACTTAAGGATCTTATTAAATGCTCAGAATTGGGTAGCAATCATCATGCTTATGTAAGTGGTTAAACTTTCCAAATATACCAGTATGACACTTGTTAATACAGACAATGTTTTTAATGGGTGAGTATCCTATATAAGTGATGTGATGTTTTCTATACTAACAGGATGTCTTTAATAGATGAGTATACTGTATTTGTGATGTGGCATTTGGTTATACAGACAGGATGTTTTAATGATGTTTATTGTGTATAAGTGATGTGATGTTTTCTATATTGACAGGATGCTTTTAATGGATAATTATAGTGTATAAGTCATGTGACATTTGTTATACAGACAGGATGGTTTTAATAGTTTAGAATATAAGTGATATAATAGTTTTTATTCAAACAAGATATTTTTAATGGTTTAACATTGTGTATAAGTGTTAGAAATTTTTAGATATTCTAATGAGTTTTATAATTATCTCGTGTGAAACCACTGTCTTAGTAACTGTTACTATTTCTACTTTAGTATGTAAACAAGATGGAATCCTCAATAGCTGCACCTGTAATTAGATCTGAAATTGGTCAAGAGATGGAGCTATGAGCTGAAAGTTTGTACTTGAAAAAAAAAAAAGCCGTTCTATAAGCCTCTATGCAACAGCTAAAAGTTTATTTAATTTAAAGTCATGTTTATGTTTCAATGATCACTTGTATCCAACTTTGGGTAAGATGAAAGATTCAACTGTACTTGATTTCTGTTCAGTTATTTAGATACAGTAAGGGTGTGTTAATGAAATTTCAGTCGTTGTCATGGTTAATAGCCTATTTGATTACCCATGTGTAATTATTAATTTTTGTTTTTATTTACTTACTCCCCATAAATTATATTGAAAGGCCCAAAAGAAAGTATGAACATCATTTACAACATCTGTTGTGAATGTGGGTTCCAGTACAATGTGGAAACAGACTAACAGAAAGCATAATATACATTCAAAACTCTGTAATACTAGTCTGTCTGCAGTGGCCCATCATACCAGAGAATACAATACAATAAATTCATTAATACTAAAATAATGAGATATGAATCACACAAGCAAAATAAAAGAAGCCTTATACATCTATCTAACTGATAAAGTCAGCCTAGTGTATGTGTTAAGCCAGAAAATTAGACACTCCTAATGAAAGAATAGAAATAGCTAGTTGATTCAAGTCCAAATATGTGAGAAGCAGGATGAGAGATCATCATGCTAATGGGCCAAGTGGGCGAAAAAAATAAAATAAATAAATAATAATAATAATATATATATACATACATACATCCATACACGCAGATAATGATGAGGCAAATGGGCGGAAGTGAAGGTTAAGGTGTAGCAGAGGCAGTTTGTTTTTGTAGAAGAAACAAGTCGAAATCAGTTGTTGACAATGTATTGAAACAAACTGAAGCAAACGGGCCTTTACAGGGCCTGGCAGGGATCAATGGACCCAAGTGCTATGGCTGGGATCTGTAGATCCAATGCCTAAGAGATTGGTGTGGGGGGAAATGGGAATGCCCCGAGAAATCCCTCTTTCACTAGTCGGGACCGAAAGAATGCCCGGCTAGTGCCCAAGTGAAGAGCTATTGAAGAGATGAAGATCTGAAAAGAGACTGACAAGTGAAATAATTATAGATAAAATATAATATTCTCTTCTTACTCTTACAGATCATGGTGGTGTGTTAGGGATGTTGTGTTTCACGTTGTGTGGGAATAGATATTTACACCATGGTTTGGAGGTAGCAGCAATTTTATGAAATTCAGCCGTGAGTGAATTTTGGTAGGTGGCTTTTTTGTAGTATTTAGTGGCAAGTTTAGATATGCATTCTTGTACTGTATGTAGTGAAGTGTGTTTTTCTACATAGCATGCTGGTGTGTAGTGAGAGAGGGTGGTGGGCAAGACGTATTACTCTGTTTTGGAGGTCTGATAAATATCTTGTAAATGTACATTATCATCCTTGGTCTGCATCCATGAGTGTGATGGCTTATTTTTTGAAGGTATGCTATTCTGGTTTTAATATTCTTACTGATTTCGTTGAAATGTGTGTGCCATGTTAGTTTAGGGTTGATAGTTTATGCCTAGGAATTTTGCAGATTTAGAGAAAGAGATGGGGGTATTGTAAAGTTTATTTTAGCTAATCTGACGTGCTTTAATCTTTTGTTTAGCCTTTGGAAGAGAATGATTGCTTGAGCACACCTGCCTTTATAAAAAGATCTAGGATTGAATCAGCTTTTACCATCATATAAAGTTGTACTCAGGACTTCTCTAAAGGTGGCAGGAGGTTAACACCTAAAATCTATGCTATCATCTAGTTAGTGTATGATAGAGAAAAGTAGCTAATTAGTAATTAGACTTAGATGATCACATAGGGTACTAACCATGACAGTGACTTCGATACTGGTAGGAGTTTATCCTTTATGTCAAGAAAAAAGTTTATTCTGATATGATACCTTATCTCTGCTCATATAATACCTTTCCTTGTTTAGTGGTCCCCTGGTAGGACAATGGTAAGTCTACGGATTTACAATGTTAAAATCAGGGGTTTGATTCCCATTGGGGGACACAGAAGATAGCCCAATGTAGCTTTGCTATAAATCATACACACATACACTCATTCAGTGCTGCCTTCTGTATGCTCGATATTTGCTTGCCACTAGCCTTTATACTTCCACCTATCCCCATGTGTTTATATGAGGTACAGCTATGCTGTAGCTTGCAACAGCTCTCTACCAATAGGAGTAGTGCAACACACCCTCCTTGCATAGCTGACTCCCTCTATACTGTAGAACCCCTTCTCCACTTCTTGATTTGGCATACTAGAGTGCAGATGGATCTAATTTTCACTAGTATTTGCTTCAATTTTTTTTTTAATTTTGTGGAACAATTCATTTTTTTTCGAGCTTATTAATTTTTCTTCTCTACATCAACTTGATACTGTAGGTGTATCTGAAAATTCTAGCTCTTGGTTTGAATTATGAATTTACAATTTCAAGTTACAACAATCATTACTGTTGTTACTATTGCTATTGAATTTCAACCTGTAGTTTCCCAGGCTTTGGGCTACACTCTTTTGGTCTTAGTTCACTGCAAGTTGGAATCCATCAGGAGGCCTGCTGTGTCTCCTTACCAAAGACCAGATATCCCATTTTTTTCCTGGAGAACCTGGTCAGGATGACAAGGATTTGAATAGCCTGTTCCCACCTCCTTTTGCCATGGGTCACACTTGTGGACACTCCAAGACCTTCTTCCACCTTCTTTGATATGGTGTCCCAGATATGTCACATTTTGTTTGTATCCCCTGTGTCTTATGATTTCTCTCCTTCCCTCCTGCATGCCACTCCTTCCTTGGATTACCTTGTTTTCCTGCCCTCTCCATATATCAGGCTTCATACTGATCAGTTTACAGTACCATTATATTCTGGGATCAGCAGCTTCATCCTCTTCATGCCTCTGATTTCTATGCATTAGTGTATTATCATTTGAAATTTTCTTTTGAAAGTTCACAGAACCTAGAGTCTTTGATTCAGTTGTGGGAGTATGACCTTGATGCTGCTGTGAGATTTTCCCAGGCCCAGTTTTCCTGTCTCCATTTGACCCTCACCACCCTCCTGCATTACCTCTCCTCTATCCATTTCCTATTCGAGGTTATACACCATTCCCCTAAGGGGTTTTCAGTGGATTCTCCTTCCTGTTTGTCATGTTGGCATGCTTGTCTTCCTCTGCCCTTTCCCTACAAACTTGGCTTCTCTGTTGTTGGGCTTTCCTGGGTAGGGATGCACTTTTAGCTCATGTGTGCCTGCCCACTACTTATTTATGTGACCATCTGGATCCATGTTTATGCAAGTCGGTTTATTGAAGTCTAGGATGGAGGTTGCTTGTCAACACTCCTCCCTTTCCTCCTTGGTCTGTTGTTTTTTGCAGCTTTCGCTTAATCCCATTCTGTATCTTGCCCTCCTCCTTCCTCTCCTTTGCCTATCTCTCTTTTCTGGGTCTTGGTGACTAGTTTCTCTGGAATTCTTTTTATGGTTGTTCATAGCTCCCATGAAGACAGGTTGCTGGCATCCTGTCCTAGATATATCCAGTCTCAATCATTCAATCAACCTTCCTTGTTGCACCATGGAGTCTTTTCTCACTCTTTGGTAGGCATTTACTCCAGGTCTTTGGAGGACAAAGTTAGATGTCTCAGATGCTTACCTTCACATCCCTATTTCCCAGACATCCAGACATTACCTTCATTTTGTCCACTAAGGTTGAGTATATCAATTCCACACTCTTCTGTTTGATCTGGCTTCCACATCCTACATATTCTGTTGGGTGGTCACGGATTTTACCCATGTTCTTCATTTTCACAGTCTGCAGTTTCACCATCTTATAGATGACTGGCTGCTTTTAGCTCCATCGAAACAAACATCTCACATGCATACACATTTACTTTTCCAAGAGGTTGCTCATGTTAGTTGCCTAGTCGAATTGGAAAAGTTATTTCTCATCCCAACCCAATACTTCATCCTTTTGGGAGTGTTCTTCAACTTTTATCTCAATCAGGCCCAACCTTTTCCTCTTTGGTTGAGATCGATGGAGTTATTAGTTCTCAAACTCAACTCTCTCCTTTTCTTAATGCACTCGAGGTTCTAGCTCTTTTGGGGACTTAGGCTTCCATGAAAGCCTTCATTTCTTTGGGTCATGCTCACATGTTCCTGTTTATGCTCTCTGGTGTTATGTTGCCTGCAAGGCTTCCTTCCATGGTTCCCATTCCCACCTGTTTCTCCATTGGAACCCTTCCTCTGCCTGAGAAATTGGACTCACCAACTTACTTGATTGGCTTATTCTTCCTTGTCTTCCAATTCCCATTGTCTTTTCCAGGTATCCTCATACCAGACCCATCATTCCAACCTCTCCCTGACTGCTCACTTCCATTGCCCATTGGGGGAGATCATCCATGCTGGCATATCATGTGGTTATGCAAATGAAATATGTAACTATAAGATGAAGAAAAGTATTTTTATGCTTAAAATGAAAATCACCTTGCACTCAGAGTTTAAGTGCAAATAACTACTATAGATAAATAATATATTTTTGTAATTAAAATAATGTCATTTTTGAGTACAAGATACTTATCATCTTTAACAAAATATTACCAGGTTTTGTGAGAATATCTCAGAGTTACCATATGTATTGCTGCATAAATGTCCTTCCCCAGTCCAGCTGATATGTCATATATCAGCCCCTTGCAAAAGAGTTGAGGTCTATAATGCTCACTGTTGAGATGGGGTGTTCCACATGACTGATAGAGGTTTCCTTATGGTGTTTTGCTTCATAATTAAAGTCCATCCCAAACTGTACCAACTTGTGGACTATTATGGGTAAAGCAGTGTCAGGAACAAATTGGTTGAACAAATTGGGACTGACCTGTTTTTAAAAATAAGGTTTTGTTGTCCTCCACTGCATTTTTTCTGGTGTGTTCCTTTGGACTCCCACCGCATTATCCCCCCCCCCTTCAAGTGGAGTACGGGAGTCATCGCCACTTACCAGCTCCTAACTGCTGAGGTGATGGATCATGGTGGCATTCTCCTGGATGTGCTGTATTCCACTCAATTGAGAGTAGTGCAATGGTGTTTTGTACATGGTGTGAACCATCATCCTACTTTGGAACAGATGAAAAATTCCCAGCACAGCCTTTGTTTTGACTGGAGATGATCCACCACATACAGTTCACCCCTCCAGCTGGGATCCCTCATCCTACTGCTCCCTGGATGTTGATTTCTATGTGGTCTGGTGTTTTATTAGAGCAGGACCAGCCAACATAAGTCCTCACACATGTGGCTATTAGGGACCCTCCTCCTTCTGTGGACTGAACAATAACTTCCTAATGCTGCCAGGTTTTAGACTGGAGTTGATCCACCATGTTGCATTCCCCTTTCCTACCATCACCTGGATGTCAGGTTCCCAGGTGGCCTAGTATTGGTTGAGTTCTGGGTCTGGATAGTGTTACAGAAGCTGTTTTTCCCTTCTGCTTCCTAGTCTTGACGTGAAAATGGTTGGGACCTTCCTCCTACTGCAGACCAGATGAAAAATACCCAAAAATACCATATTTTTGAACTGAAGTTGACTCACCAAATACTGACTGATGCACACTAGCCACTCTACACCATTTGGTGCATCTAGTTATGCATTGGATGTGCATCCATTCCACCCAACATAGCAACATGTATCTTCACCTGGTACAGGTGTGGTGTGGCCTTCCATGGGTGTGTCCACTTACTTTGAGGTTTCACACTCCATGGGCTCACTTCGGACACATTTCGAATGGTACTCATCTAGGTAAATTTTGCACTGGTCCCTCCACCAGTTCATTATGGTTTTATAGCTATTATGTGAGTAGAGGTAAGGTATTGTATTAGAAGTTATAATTTTCCTACACTGAAAATGTATTTCCGATAGATACTTCCCGCTTCCCACCTGTTCTCCCCACTTCTGGTGCTTCTTTTTTGCCTAATCTCGAAGTGAAGATTGGGTTCTACAGTATAGAGGGAGTCAGCTGTGCCAGGACAGTGTGTTGCATTCCTATTGGTGGAGGGCTGTCACATATTTATTTGCATGCTGCAGTGCATCTGTACCACCTGTAAGCACATGGGGGTAGGTGGGAGTATCAAGACTAGTGGTGAGCAAAAATTGTGCATATAGAGGGCAGCATTGAACAAGAAAAGCTATTATGTGAGTAGAGGCAAGTACTATCAGAAATACATTTTCAGTGTAGGAAAATTATAACTAATAAAATTTGGAAACTTCAAACTGTTGTGTTACATGTAAGTTTTTCAGATTTGTTCTTCATACTAGTAATGATTGCTGAATTGGTTCACTGTCTGAGGCTGTTTTCCAAAGACATGCATATTATCTTCTGTGTATAAGGCCTTGGCTTGTATAGCATGGTTTTTTAGTTGTTTTTTTATGTAATATGTCATCATAGTAAGACTGATAATAATTTTGTATTCTTCTATCTCATTACCAAAAATTGTAAGTTTTGACAAGAATGTTAGACCGTTACAATTTGCTGATGAGAGAAAAATTACATTATTGAAACAGCTTGTCCTCTGAATAATCATTTAGTAGCATCAATGCTACATATTCTTCAATAACCTTTATAAAGGTATGTTCATGTTGCATTTAAGATAACCTAAACGCCATATAAATAATAATATTTTTTAATCAAATTTTTGTTAATGACCCCACATGGGTTTCCAGTGAGAAGACTACATGTCAGCTAAACATATATTGCAAACCATTGCCAAGAGGTTTTTCCTTCAATACCAGAGGTAATATTTTCAGCTAGATATACAAGAAACAAATCCTCTGTAAAAATATTAGTCATTTACTAGACATCATGTTATATTCAGTCTGGCATAAACAGTTTTGGTATCCAGTTTGGCAGAGCATAAACATTCATATTTTGATTAGTTGCATGGGGCTTCCAGTCTGGCAGAGCATAGATAGTCTTATTGTGATTTTTTTGCATGAAGTGTCCAGCCTAGCAGATCATCAAAAGAGTCAATTTGATGTCTTGCATGTGGTGTCCATTATAATGAACAGTTTTACTGTGATGTCCAATCTGATAGAGAATGAACAATGTTATTGTGATGTCTTGTTAAATTGTTATCATGCTAAATTAATAATCCCTTCTCTGTTTAGGTATCCTATGGAGACCCTGGTTTGTCATATAAGTTCTCTGGCAATTCCATTCCTGCTTTACCTTGGACACCATTGATGCTGGAACTAAGAGATGTTGTAACCAAGCTAACTGATCATACTTATAACTTTGTGTTAATCAACAGGTGAGAATATTTTTATTGTTTCTTTTAAACAAGTAAATTTATCTGGCCTCTAAAATAAGTAAATACCAAAATTATTGTCTTATCATTTATGGAAAACTTTTAAATGTCTTTATAAGCTTGATATACTTATCATTATTCAAAAATGATAACAACCCTATAGCCCGAGCTCCTTCAAAAGATGGACCTTTCTTCTTCAGGGGCAAACTGGAAATGGTGGTGTAATCGATTGAGTGATATATAAAGGGAGTTGAGTGACATCATGAAGGTCATCTGGTCTTCCAGGGAATGTATAGTATATTTTTCCATGTACTGTTGTAAGTGTGTTCCATTTCTGGTACAATGAGGGTGTTATGCAAAAAAGGTGTTAGGGATATTTTGCTTTAGAAATGGTTGAAAAAGAAAGAGATAAAACTATACTTAAGTGTTTAAGTAAAATAAAGGTGATGCCTGGAGACTGATTGAAAAATAGATCTTAAGCTAGTGAATTTATACAAACAGGTATGTGGGCCTGGCATGGTCAGGTGGTTAGGGCGCTTGAATTGCAATCTGCGGGTCGCGGGTTCGAATCCCCGTCACACCAAACATGCTCGCCCTTTCAGCCGTGGGGCATTATAATGTGACAGTCAATTCCACTATTCGTTGGTAAAAGAGTAGCCCAAGAGTTGGCGGTGGGTGGTGATGACTAGCTGCCTTCCCTCTACTCTTACACTGCTAAATTAGGGACGGCTAGTGCAGATAGCCCTCATGTAGCTTTGCGCAAAATTCAAAACAAAACAAATAACAAACAGGTATTGATAATTATCATAAATAGATAGTAAGTTTTAGAAAAAGTAGGGTTCATGCAATAAGCAAAGAATAAAAATTATTTTTCTGACAGATATGAAACCAATGATCGGAGATCACTGATTCCAGGATCCAAATTTATTCCACAATTTTGAAGAGTGTTTAGATTAACAATCCAATAAGCTTATTTTATATCTCTATCAGGTTTACTTTTGAATCCTGTTTCATTGCCAATCAGAGTAACATTGCTAATGGAATGACCAGGTTGGTTAAAGTGTTGAGCAACAGAGAGATCTTTTTTGGTGTTAATAGAAGATTTATGATTGTTAAAATGTTCTCTAAGAATTGTTTGTATATGTCCTACATATTGGTGATTGCATTTTTTGCACTGTATAAGGTAAATGATGTTTTGTGTTCAAAAAGTGATTTCTTTGGATATTTTAGTTTCTTTGGTTGTGCTTGTCAGAAAATTAGTTTTTCTGAACTTGCAGGTTTGACAATGAGCTGTATTGCATAAATGACATACATTTTTTGGTGGGATGTAAATCACTTTTGTGCTTTCTGCTTTTCCAGAAGGAGACAATGGGAACTTCAGGAAATATCTGTTTAAGGCAATTGTTAAGTTGTAGATGTTTCTTTAGAATTCGTGAAATGTTTCTGAGTTTAAAGTGGTAGGTAATAATAAAAGGAATTCTATTTGAAATTTTAATATTACTCTGTTTTAGATTGTTTTTCTGCTGAATGTTGTTAGCCTTTTTGATCTGTCTGTCAATATTGGGATCTTTATATCCTCTTTGTAATATGGTTTGTTTTAGATCCTTGGTGTGTTTTCTGCAGTCTGTTTCATCTGAGCATGCCTTCTGGGGGCTCATTGTCATTGGGAAATGTGACAGCCATTGTTCAATGTGTTTTGGGTTCCTCCATGCACATTTTGCCTCCTCTTCCCATCCATTTGGCTGACATTCCTTTTTCCCAATTTGAACATGATCAGGATGATGATAATTTGACTGCTATCTCCCCCACCAAGGTTTGTTCTAAGCACAGCTTTATCTGTGGAGGACAGTTCTCACTCTTGTAATATCATCCTTGACATAAATTTGTAGATATTTTCTTTTCTTTTTTCTCTTCCTTTAGTTTTCTGATTCCTCCTGTGCTTTACATGAAACCTATACTCAAGATTACAATGTCTTATCCCCTTCACCTGACACCAGGGTCCTTGCAGACACACCCATACTAACATGTCTCATCTACTTGACTTTTTGTAGTGGTTTACAGCCATTCTTTGTTTCTGTTTCTCGATTCCTAGCCTTTGGAATTTTTTTTATTTGCTTAAAGGGTGGACCCCTTAACTTCTATTTCCCTTTCTAGTGCCCAGTTTTTGTGCCTTCATCTCTTTTCTACCACCTTCCTGTATTACATCTTGTCACTTCACCTTATGTCTGAGTTACTTCATTGTGCTCAGGAGGTTTGTTTTCTTCATTTCACCACATTGGTCCACACTTATGCTCTATCCCACTTGGTTCTTCTGATGTTGGGACGTGTTGGAATGAGATGCTTTTCTTATCTCTGTGATCTTTGTCAGGCTTCATTTCTTCACTTAGAGGTCATTGGGGATGTTTCTGACTCACTGGAGACCTGGGCTGAGGAGGCCTGGCATCAGTCCTAATTTTCTGCTATGGTTTTGTGTCTTTCTCAATCTTGCCATTCAGTTCCTGCTGAATCCACATCTCCCCTTCCCATTCCAGTTTCCCAACCCTCTTCTATTTCTCCTTCTCCTACTTCCTGATGTCAGGGTCATCGTTTATCTCGGCAATGACTACCCTGTCAGGTCTGTCCGTGTGGGAGCCCATCTCTCTCTTCATCAGCCTTTGGTCCTTATTTTCGTCTGATTGGTGGGTTATTCAGGTTCTTACTCACAGACTATTTCTCCATTTCTTTTTACCTTCTCCCCTTTTCTATTTCATTTCCTCCTTTCTCTGTTCCCCTTTATCTTCAGTGTCTCGAGGATGTGGTCTCAGATCTCTTGGTCAAGAATGCCATCAAGAGGGTATTTTCCCCTACACTTGGTTATTACTCTTTTTTTTTTCATGCACCTGTTGAAGACTGGGAACCCACCATCTCTCAAGCATTTTATCATCCCTTTGGCTCCATATGGAGGGTTTATTTTCTCTCCCTCTGTTTTTTTTTTTTTCACCAACACAGTAAGACCATGGTTGATGTTTTGGCCACCTTTTTACATATTTCAATTGCCCCGTCCTTTAGATCTTCTCTTTGTTTTGTTCATTGGGATTGGGTCTTCCAGGTCCATGCCTTTCCCTTTGGCATTGCATCTGCTCCTAATAACTTTAATTGAGTCAAGGGACATTTGCCTTCCTTGTTCGTGGATT